GCTAAGCGAGATTAACTTAAAATACGTATAAAATTATAGTACATAGTGTTGTAAATATTTAACAACATATAAATTAAATAATTTCTAATCTAAAGACGTATAAAATAATAAAGTAAAATATGTTCATAAAAAAATAAAACTACCAACTTTTAGAAATAATTTAGGAATTTAAAATTTATATAACAAACTAGTAGTGTAATAAAACAATTTGTACAACCGACTTCAATATAAATAAAATGAGAACATCATCAGCGTAGTCGAAGTCAATTAAGTCCGCATTATTTAGGATAATTAAAAAACTACTGGTCAGATCTTGATCAAATTTATATGGGACCATGAGAATTCCCAGCTTTCAAGTAAGAAAAGAATCATCAAAATCCGTCCACCTGGAAAAAAGTTATGAAATATTACACATAAAAAATTCAGTCGAATTAAGTACAAGGGGAAGTAAGGTTCTCGAGTGGCAGCCTCGTATCGGTAGGCATAGTGTAGGGCGACCCCCCGCTAGATGGAGTGACGACCCGGTAAGATATGCAGGCTGTCGATGGATGCAGGTGGCTCAGGACCGTGCTTTGTGCCATAACTTGGGGGAGGCCTATGTCAGCAGTGGACTTGTGAAGGGCTGTAATGATGATGATGATGATGAAATACATCCTTCTTTTTGAAGTCGGTTAATCGTCCACATGTATGAAAAAACATCCTTGAAAAGACCCGGTAGATGGAGCTGATTAAGGTAAAAATGAAATTGTAGTTGTAAATATTCAATTTGAGGACATTGGCTGCCGTTGGATAAATTATAACGGAGGAAGTGTCAATCGCCATAATAGAGACAACCAAAATATCGAGATGGAAAAATAATTTATTGACATTTATATAATGAATAAGTTAATACATCACAAAGCTTCGCAGTCTATGGTCAATACCCGTAATAGGCGGGGTGAAATAATGTCTAACCATAAATCTTACATGATATTACTGCGTAGATATTGACATGGCTGGCGAAAAATGCGGAGAGGGAGCTGTCTAGCAAGTAGCTTCAAATAATTCTAAGACACTTCTTGATTGAAAACATTTATATTATTATGCTGTTGAAGAATTCCTAAAACATAAAGTAATCTACAAAGAATTTTATAAGACATTTTAATCCTTTATTTTAAAGCGAGTTTTTATTAAACGAGCAATTCTTGGAAACGTCTTTAACGATTTGGATTACTTTTTGTATTTAGAAAATGTTTATTTACTTTTCAATTTTTTCTGAATTGGTGTGATTTCTGAGAAGTTAATAATTGTTTTCTTACGTCGAGCTAAGCCCGGCTGCCCCAGGTACTTTAGTACAATAATTGTTATTAAATGATATAAATTAATTTTAAACAATAATTTTACCTTGTGAGTTCAGTGGTCGTAAACGCTGTTCATGAGGCCCCGGGCTCGAATCCCTGGTCGGAACAACATCAGTTATTAGGGTTTTCTATCAAGAAATTCTCAGTGGTAGTCCGGAGTCAGAAATTTGGCGGTGTTTCACTTCTGTGCCTCTGAAAGTACGTAAAGCCGTCCCATCGGACTTTAAGAGTGAGGAAATAGAAATACATAGAATAGAGGAATGGCTAAAATCCTGTCTTGCGCCGATGGCTAGGCTCCGTGGCGCAGTGGCTTAGTAATGAGTGACTGCGCTGGGGGCCGTGGGCTAGAATCCGTATAAGTATTTGAATGGCTAACAAATAATTGTTCCGGGTCTGGATGTTTATCCTTGTGCAAGTCATGTTTGTAAACTGCCCCCACGATACAGGAGAAAATCCTAGTATGAGGAGTAACGTTTTATAAAAAAAAAATCTAGCCGCCAGGACCGAAATTTAGTCTCGAGCACATTTTTGTCATTATCTTTCATATTTAACCCACACTCGTGATTGAAACAATGAATTTTTTCGGACTTTATTTTCCATTCCAGTAGCATTTCAAAAGTTTTTCTTGAATATTGAAGGGCTCTAGCGTTTTATTTCCTCAATGGAAATATAGAAAGACTGTTTTACATTAACAGCCCTATTAATAAACACAGACTTGAGCAAGATTAACTTTATTCCTAGTTTAAAGCTTAAAATATCTAATTACAGTATTAATAAACATAGAGTAAGGAGGGGAGTAAACTAATCCGAATCTACTCTCGGAATAAAAGTTAATCCTTGGCGGTACCTAGTTTAACGACTGAGTAAGCATAGACTAGTCGCGTATTTTGACATTTTGTAAAACTTTACCTTTACGCGCGTTGTTACACGTGTTAAATTCATAAGTTGTAAGCACTAGTAACAAAAACAGCATAATGGATTAAAATGCCAAGAAGTGATGTGGAGCAGAACAGTGATTGCAGGTTTTTTTCATTATGTGGATTTAGACAAGTGATTGGGGCTATTGATTGCTATTTCATATTCTAATCCCGAAAGTCGCTGGAAACATCGGACAATACTACATAAACAGGAAAGGATACAGTTCAATGAATGTACAAGTAAGTTTTATAGCACCTAGCTAGCCCACCTCTGCCGTATAGGTACTTAGTTATTTTCTCAGATTCAATACAATCTGCTCAATCTATTACTTCATATTAAAGAAGTTATGAGTGCTTTGTTCCAGGTTGTGTCAAATGCAAATTTAGACTTCATGGATACAGTGGCACATTGGCAAGGCAGCACACATGACTCAATAATATTTAATTATCGTCGCATTAAAACAAATGTTTGAGCAGTCAGAATTTAAAGGCAGACTTCTCCGAGATTCTGGTTATGCTTGTACTTCTTATTTATACACTCCTATCCTGCGTCCTAATAAACAAAAGGAAGAATGTACAACCGTTCGCACATCTGGTGGCCCCGTTACACTGTAGAACAATGCTTTGGAGGGAAGCAAAGGTTTCGGTGTTTACTGCGAGGACTTAATACTAAATAAGAACATACAAAACAATATTACAACAACATTGCAATGCAAAAGCAAGATCTGCTTGAGGATGTAGTATAAGGAGATGATGAAAATATATTAGTAAATCACTCCGTTAGAGGAAATTTTGTTCGGGCAGCATTTATTAACGATTTTTTTTAAATAAATATACAATAATTACATGTACAAAAGATTTTATTTATCCCCAAAAAACAAAACGAAAATGGTTATTTAATTAATTTTGCCCTTCACGCTCTTTTCTTAATTTTAAAATTTCGTTACAAATAATATTAAAAATGATTATATTTAGAACTTAATTTTTCCACCGATTCCGAAAACAACACGAGGAACAAAGAACAACCCGTAACATTTATCTCTTGTCAAACTCAAAATATTGCCTGTCACTGTCATTAATGTCATCATCAAGCATTGAATTCATTCACTAATCATTTACTGACTCACTCTTTTACTTTTAAAATAAGTGGGTTGCCATAGCGCAAGCCTTAATCCCGGCGTAAGGAATGTATAGTTAGTCCGAGGTTACTCCAGGTTTATTAATAACATTGTAATAACGAAGTAAATAGTCAGTTACTCTGAGATTAGCAAGTCCAAGTGTAACTTCGAATTAAGCTGGGAATAAGCAATTTTTATTAATAAGGCAGTAAGCGTTTAACGGAAAATTACAATGTTACAATATTGCGTAAGCCACTACGTATGCCACATGCCACTTACCATCAGGTGGAATGTGTGCTCGTTTTTCACCCAATGCTATAAAAAAAATCATTTTAATGTCACACAAGCAGTTACGATTGTCAACATTCGAATGCTGTTGCTTCGAATATATCGCGCTTTTTTGAGCATAACTGTCAATATGGAATCCGAAAAACGAGATTATAAAAATTGAAACTAGTATGTATGTTAACCATACATGACTTAGAGTATAAATGATTTCTCTGTACCTTTTACTGTAGAAGAACTAAAGAAGAAAAGAAATACCAACTAATCAACTACCTACAAAGTACAAATTTATTAATAAAATATTAAACATTGAAGGCCCATATTCATAAGTTGACTTTTATGTGCTGATAAAAAGAAATAAAACAGAGATACGTCGTCCACAAATCAGTTTTTGATCTTTCCGATAAATGTGATCATTATCATTAAAGCCCCTCACAAGTCCACTGCTGAACATAGGCCTCCCCCAAGGAATGCCACAAAGCACAGTCCTGAGCCAACTTCAGCCGTCGACTTCCTACATGTCTTACCAGTGGGCCTAGACAAAATCCAAGCGTTTCCCGTGCAAGCGTTTTCCGCTCACGCAAAGGACTTGACGTTAGCGTGTTGAAATTGGTAGACAAGTTACACATAGAACGCTGAACGCCCATTCCGCAGCGTTACCCGAAACACTCTTTAATTAGTCTATGGAATACTGTGTAGCAAGTGTCAATTGCGTCAGCATCTGTCACTGTCAAACGCAAACGCGCGCTTAGAAATATTAATAAAGTGTTGTGTTGAAAGTTATTGAAGTGTTTTATTACAAAAAAGTTAGTGAAGACATTGTAAGAACTGCGATATGGATTCTAGACTTCGTGCGAGTCCCGAACAATTTAGTTTGCTAATAGAATTTATGGAAAGGTAGGTTTTTTTCCAAATGTTTTCATTTATTCCAATTATTGTTCCCTGTGTTTACGCGAACACTACACATTGAAATAATACTAGTTTTTACGAAATTTATCCCCCCCGTGACCAAGGGTGCTGTAAAGCGCTCGAAACGTCGGGTATTTAAAAAGTTAAATATACGCGATAAATTCCGTAAAAACTAGCATTATTTCAATTTTGTTCCCTGTTTTAATTAGTATTGGACCTACTTGAGAATATGGAATGCATAATGTAAACAACCTCACAATGGTGCACTTATATGATTTTTGGTCTTATATTTTGTTATTTTTATAAAGATAAACTCTATTCCAAACCTTAATACTCGTTTCTTAGTAAGGGTATTAGGATGTTAATAGCAAACTTTGTTTACTAGCTCTTATTCTCACTGTACACTAATCTTATGAATATTATTTTTAGCCATGGTGATCTTTCAAGGCCACAAGTTGGACTTCAAGGAAGGGTAAGGAGTGAACGCCTGTGGCAAGATTTAAGTGACATTTTAAACTCAGTGGGTGGATGTGGTGTTAACAAAACTTCCGACAAATGGAAAAGGGTAATAAGATATTAATTATTAAGCAAAGTATGTACTGCTGTTGCATAGTACCTATGAAGACCATTTATTTTAATGTATTATTTCATATTTTGTGCTACAGGTATGGTCTGACTGGAAAACCAAAACAAAAAAGAAAGCCTCCCGTATAAATCAGGACATTCATGGCACTGGTGGTGGGTCTGGTAGGGGAAAACCATTAAGTCGACTTGAGTAAAGGGTGTTACGTGTAACTGGGGTCACCGCAATTACTGGAAGTCAAGCCATACAAGAAGCAGGCTTTCAAGTAAGTGAACCCTTCATATATTAATGTTTTTTCTTGTTTTGCTGATTTCATAAAAAACTTGCATATTTCTGGTCAACAACTGGTTATATTTTTGTAATTAGGAACCATCTCAACCCCAAGTGAGCAATACAGCTGATACAGCAGGGAGGATGCCATCACCAGCAGAAATTGAGCTCTTGGCATTACCATCAGCTGCAGAAGATACATCTACAAATACAGTACTTACATATACATAACAGACATAGACAAATAGCAGTGCCAGCAAATGTAACATCTCCACCAGCACATCCTGTCAGTCCTGTGCCAGGGCCCTCAAATAGTAGAACTATACAAGGAGGTAATTATTACAAAATTAATTTTGTAAAGGTATTAAACACACAAATTATTGAATATTCATTATTATGAGTTATTGAAACTACCAACATTATTAAATAACTTCACTGCCACCATAGATAGAACCACCATCACCACAATATTTCGTTAGTTTTCTTTAGTATAGTATAGCTTTCATCTGTGTTCTCAGAAAGGTCGCCGGTATCTGCCAGCCCTTCTACACCTCGTCATCGCCGTCTCAGACAGCGAAGACTGCGACAAACACCATTTGACCGAGCCACCAGCGAGTTTGTAGCAATAGAGGAGAATCGGTTGCGTTTCGAAAGGGAGAGGGATGCGCGTCAACACGAGCTTGAAACTGAACGACTCAAAATAGAAGCACAACGTCTGCAACTTGATAGAGAGCGCGTTCGGGTCGAAGAAGTCCGCACCCGTGTAGAGGCAGACCTACGTGACTACATCAAATAACAGCTCTTATGTCACTATTGGAGACTCGTGATTTGAGACCGAATTGGCATTTAAGTAACGTAATTTATTGTACCCCTAATGTAATTTTATTTGACTGTGCTATGTAATTAATATTACTTATATTTTATTTGTTTTCATTTTTTAATTTAGACTTAATAGTGCATAGTGTATAATTCTAATAATGAAAAATATTTTAAAGAAAATAAGTACCTTTTTAATTTTGATCTTTTACTTGAAAATGAGATTTTGTTACATTGATTTCACAAATTACTTATCACATACCATTACACTAACAACTAAGAAATACTTTAGTACAAGCACTAGACAAAATTACAATTTAAGTAACATGATATTCTCCCATAAACTATGACATGTATTCCATGCATAATGTAATTAAATTTTATTTGTTTATAATCATATTCATTTAAAGCTAGGTACAAAACATGGACCCTGGGCACAGCAAAAGGATAAAATTAAAATTACAAAAACAAAATTATAACTCCATATCTACTACTTACTAACATAAAATTAATTGTACAATAAAATTTGGATAGTGTATAATTTTATTAATGGAACATATCTGACAGAAAACCTTGACCTTTAATTTTGATATACACCTTCAAATTAGAAATAAGGTTTTGTTACATTGCTTTCACAAATCACATAACATAAGTCCCTAAATTAAAAAAAAAGAATAAAAAAATCACACAACACATACCATTATACACTAAAAACTCAGAAATACTTTTAAAGTCCTGATAAAAGATTATTCAGTACTGCCCTGCCTTGGAGTAGCTGACTTTGATCACTAGCAGCACCAACGCTATCAGATGCATTGTCAGGTTGAGCATCATCTTCTTCTACTTCCATAATAGATGGAGGAGGTAAATTGGCCTCTAAAGCCATATTGTGTAACACACAACAGGCAAGTACAATTTTCCCAGCAACCTCAGGATGATAATGCAAGGTCCTGTGTCTTAATAAACACCTCCAACGTGACTTTAGCAATCCAAAACAGCGCTCTATACAGTTTCTTGCATGTACATGTCGCTGAGTATATGTATCTTCAACTGAGCCAGGAACTGCATTTAATATGGGAGTCATCAGCCATGGCCGCTGAGGATATCCAGAATCACCTAAAAATACATAAATAAATATTTGCATTAGGTAATAATTATTTGCTACCCAACAACATAATTCTTTGTGAATAAAATGTTTTCAACAAGAGTGTTATCTAAAAATATACCATATTATTTATTTACCTACCTAATAACCACACTTGTTCTCCATTTTGGTGCAATTCTCGCATAAATGTTTCCATTCTGCTAGATGCCCATATGAATGAGTCATGGGTAGCTCCGCCAAACTTTGGATTTACATTAGTAATTTTTAAATTACTGTTGCATACCTGTTGACAGGAAAAAATTATGGAACATGTATAATAATCCTATGAATATGTTTCTGTAAGTGCTAATTAAAGCTATTTTTACATAATCGAGCCACAAACGCAAACTTACTATTTGTACGTTCAATGAATGATAACCTTTCCTATTAAAAAATAAATGTTCTTCATCTGATGGCTTGACTATTGCCACATGGGAGTCCAAGAGAAACAGGAAAAACAAAGAAACGAGAAGAATACAGTCTATGCATCCAACTATACCCGGGAGTCTAAATCGCCTCTGAAACCTGTAATTTTGGAAAATATAATACTTAATTATTTTTGTTTTTAAAAGGACAGATGTTTTTACTAGTATTTTGAACCTAGTGTGCATGAAAGGCTCAATGAGGCATTTTCTAAGTACCTATCGGCCTTAAGGAAGGTATAGTGTTTAAGTACATCAAAGAATATGCTACTAATAAAAAGTATTTCAAGTATGTATTTATACTTAAATACTTTTGTCATATCATAACTTACTCAAGTCTTATTTGGGCTCGTTGTTGTTGCGAACTTGGAAACAGAATCCATTTATTTAGAATGGCTGGATGCCTCAATGCTTCAACAACTTGACGTATACACCTACTAGTTGTTCTTTGTACCAAATGCTGCGTTAGTCCAACAATGCGTTGATATGAACCCGTAGCTAAAAAGCTAAGAGTACACAAAACCTGAAACATGATTTCATTGAGAAATGACATTAAGTACTTAACTCTGTTGAAAGGTTATACGTAGGTACAAAACTTACCTTGATTTCTAAACTAATTTCCCGGGTACCTTTCAATGACGTAAAACGCCGAAGATCATCACAAATATGCCAAAAACTTTGTTTATCCAACCTAAAACGATGAACAAATTCCAATTCCTCCATCTCCACAATTTGCACCATTTTACGACGATTTACTCTTGTTTGACGTCTTTGCAATGTTGTTTCATTATTAGCTGCCCATAATAATCTCAAAGTATGCATTTTCACTAATTAATTTGAATTAAAGACACACAAAATATTACTGTTTACTCGTTTCTAGCGTTAGCGTCTGGGTCCGATCTTCCGCTAACATAGCGTGTTGCGGAAACGTCAAAATATCATTGGCGTTTGTCAAAAGTGGCAATTGTCTACCATTTTGATGAACATTTTTGTCGTTAGCGTGTCACGCTCACTTCAACGTTCCTTTCTGCATGAAGAATAATGACTTTGTCTACCAATTAAGCAGCAATCACGTGACATCTGGTTAGCAAATGTCAACTCCATACAATTAGATTTTTCCGTTGGCGTTAACGCTTACAGAAAACGGATTTTGTCTAGGCCCCCAGGTCGTTACGCCATTTAGCGGTTAGCTGCCCCACACTTTACCTACCGGTACGAGGCTGCCATTAAAGAATTTTTCTTCCCCACCGGATGTCGGTTCATCGAGTTATATCTTAAAATCTACTCACAGTAAAAACACACTCACCACACAATCGCACACGCACGCACGCACCCACACACACACACACACACACACGGCGCGCTGTGGTGTAAGATAACCACCAAACACCGGCGGCGACGAAAAGAAGTCAAAATATGAGACGTTTGGGACTGATATTGCCAAATTACCTACCAAGCGAGACGACTGTGGCAAATTAGACGGGATAGATCTATATATAAAACTTTTACTATTTTTTTATGGAAGCGGAGGCAAATGAGCTTGCGGCTCACCTGATGATAGGTGATCACCGTCGCCCACGAACATCCGCAACACCAAGGGAATTGCAGGTGCGTTGCCGGTCTTATAGGAAGGAGTATGCACATTTCTTGAACGTACAAGCAGAAAATTCCGCGTAATCGCACAATTAAGTAACAAAAAGTAATTTGATATTCTCATTGAATTAAAGTAATTTACGGATTTTATCGTGTTTAATGTTAGCTTTTTCATTCTTGACGCTTCAGGTGCTTTACAACTTCGTCGTCAACGTTGCGTTGTTAAACGTCGGGAATTATAAAGTTAAAATTAAACGCGATAAAACCCGTAAAATTACTTTTATTTAATGTGTATTCGCCTAAATATAAGAAATCATTATTCACGCAATACATTTGTTTTGTGGATACGAATTTTATACGTGGTAGAGCTACGCTGCAGCTATATTATGGTTGCAGCATGAATGGATCGGCTCGACCGGGGAAGAACTACGCTCTCACCTAATATCAACGTAAAATAGGTAACGCTGATGTGTTTCCTATGGTGAGTGTAGAGAATCGGAGATACTTTTTACTGGAAACGACGCATTCCATCTTAGTCCTCCTGGGTGATAACGTATCTGCATTTTAATTCGTAATCGAGGATAGATGTAGATTTCTATGGGCCACAGCAATCTCTTACCATCAGGTGCACTGTGTGCTTGTTTGTAACCCTTATTCTATAAAAAAAATACGTTTTTAGGATCCGATAGGTGGTGCTATAGTCAAACTGTTACTATAAATTTTGTATCCTTCAGTCACAATATACGTTGGCTTAGTTAATATAATATGTCGGCTAATTATAAGGGAATCACTAAATGTGGAGCTTTGTTAAGTATATATTGTGGTTGTAGCACGAATGGGTCGGCTCGACCAGGGAAGGACCACGCTCTCACGGAATACGATTACCGTCGCAGCCTACTAAATTCTACGACCGAATAAAGCCTCCCCCATAGATTTCCTCATAGTTGGATATTTCCCATAGTTGCCACACTTGGCAAGCGGTCTGGCAACCGTAGATTTTTTTAAGCTATTGCATAGCTTCTATCGCGGGCCTTGAGCGCGGGGACCGAATCCAGAAATTCCGTAACGAAAAAAAACCTCACGCTCCCCACTCCGACGGACACGGAGGTGTGGCGTTGAAAGCCGTGCATCGTCTAACGTCGTTTCAGTTCGGCAGACTTCGGCACTCGGCAGACTTCGGCACTCGGCAGACTTCGGCACGGTGTTTGTGTGCGTGCGACTAGACGTACGCGTGTACGCTAGCTGCTAACTCAATGATAAAATTCCTGAATAACCTACATGTATTGTAAGATATTAAAAATATTTTAAACAATATTAACTTCTCATTTATTCAATAAGCGAAAAAAAAATTGTTTTCTTATCGGTCACCACGCTCAAAAAGTGTAACTTGATTTAATATCAAAGACTTAACTGCATAAATAAAATAAATAAATAATTATAATTGCATAAGTTGATAAAAAATGCTATGCAATAGCTTTACCGCGGCAGTCACCGAGTGCAACACGTATTTTTTATTTCTATTCGTTGTTAGGAGGACGCCGTCCAACTCCTGATTTGTATCCCTCTGTCGCCACGACATCCAATGGATGATATAGGATAGTGGATATGCTTACACCAAGATTACTTGGTAAAACCCTAAAACGTTCAAGTACAATACCAAAAACTTTATCGTCATGTAATTCTTACAGTTTAAATAGAAAAATAGAAATCAGTGAAGGGTAAACGCCAGCAAACACCTTGAAGGTCATGCATTTATTAAGATTAATAAAAGGGTTAGATTCTTTTCAAAAACTATTGATGTCCCACCTAAAACTCAAATGCGAAAACTATTATCTATTCCGTGGTTCGTGGTTGTTGACATCGCTGATAAAAGAGTTAAAATCTGAACAGTTGCCAAGGTCCAAAATTTATTAATTTATTGGATTCAGCAACGAATTCAGAAGCCATTATTTATGTCAAATATTTGTTATTCTTTTTAGTTTCTTGCTAAGAAAATTGTTGCTTTTTTAAAGTTTTATTATTTGACCTTTTTATTGGACTTAACAATAGGTATCACAACTTTATAACTGAAATAATGTGGGTAAATTTTTACATAAAAATTTCATTCTCTATTTTGCCTCCGTTGGTAATGGAATGTTTTCATAAAAATTAAATTGGATATCCATGAAGTACATAAAGCCTACTTTCAATTTAGAATTATTAAAATTGGCTCAAATTGACAAATGCATTGCGTAAAGTACGTACAAAATATTGCATCTGAATTGAAAATCTCCTAATAACTTTGCTTGAATGCTTTATGAGTTCATACAATTTTTTCTCAGTGCTTGAAGCAGAAATTACAAATAAAAAAAATCGAAAAATTATAGTTTGAACGTCTACCTATAAATATACTTTATTGTGTTTACGTGTAAAGACCACTGTGGCATGTGCATATACAAAATTATGTACGCATAATGAATCTATTGTTTACTATTGGAATATGTGATTTGAATAATGTTACCAACGTTTGTATTTTATGTTAATTTAATAACAGTTTTTATGCGTAATGCTTCTCCATGAACGTGAACAAATTGCATAGCTTTTACAAACAAACGTACAACCTATAGGCGATATATAATTTTTAGGATGCCTAGGTAAACGTTAAGCCATATAAAATATGGAGATTAGAGGTAAAAAGCATTATAATGTTATAACTTGCCTTGACTTGTCGAAAATTGATCCACTCAAACTTGAAGTCCGCTCGTGAAATATGTGGTAGAGACACGTAGCAGTTACATTATAGTTGTAGAGGGGACCGCGCTCTCACGGAACACCAGCGTAAAATAGCATCTTAACGCTGCTCTGTTTCCTATGTTGAACCGGAACCTATGTAAACCGGAGACCCTTAATAGTGAAAACAAGGCATTACATCGTGGTCCTCAGTGGTGACAATGCTTCTGCGTTTTGATTCTTAATCGAGGATAAATGTAGATGTCTATGGACCACAGCATGCACTTACCATCTTTATGCTTGTTTGTTACACCCATGTACTGTACAGAACTATTGAAATTGTTAGTCGAAGTTTTAAGTAAGTATTTATTTATCAAAACAGCTTACTGACGAACGTGACGTGAAGAAATTTCATTTATGAAAGTACATAATGCACATAGAGGAGACTTGTAAATCGTTTCATTGACTTTTTCTGTACTTCATAACGAAAAAATATCCAGACACTGGGTATTGAAACCATGGTAATATGATAAAGTTTTTGGTATAATTAAATTGACAATCTTACAATCTGACCTAAAATTCTGTCTATCTGATGGTAAGTAGCTACAATCCAAAGACACCTGCTGCCAATATCAAAAAATAAGACTAAATATGTATTGTCATCTAAGGACCGAAGACCCTTTACAAATATGGAAAACGAATTTATTCGACTCGAATATAATTATTATTGATCAAAACAAGGAATTTGATAAAAAAATTTGTGAGATTATTTGTTGTTTAAATAAATTAGTTTTTCCTAACAGTAGGGGAGCCCACGAGGGATTCTTCGGATTTACTCAACGCGTCAGATTAAGATGAGGTGGGTTAATTACGAGCTAAAAATAGTGCATTTAGAAGATTTGAGTGTAACAAAAGGAAGTGGGAGGGGTACAAAGTTACAAAAAAAAAAACGTCGTCTTGAATTTCTCGTGCCTTGTCGATTTTTTTAAGAAAATAATGCAAAACTAACAGAAAATGTCATAATCACCTGATTTCCACAAACTGAAATACTAAAATTCGTCCATGAAGATGAGAACATGCAGCTGGAGTAATTATAATGTATACCCTCTGGAGCCATTCTCACCCATTCACAGTCACATTTTATGGACATTGAGAAAAAAAAGTTTATTAAAAAATTATTTCTAAAAGTCAGATTATATGAAGATTATTTTAATGGATATTAATAATAATATCCCTTAAAATAATCGTCGGAATTTAAGCTAACGGGGACCTCAAGTTGAACCTCTTGTATAAATAATCTGACACGCTCAATTATTTCGATATAGGTAGCGATTTTTTTTCACATTAATAATTATCTGTTACGAGCTTGCGTCACTTCCAAATCGTCAGACTTTTAAATGGGAGCATTTTTAGGGTTCGCTTGACATCCCCTTTGAATAACTGTCGCGCGCATCTGACGTGCTGGAATTATTTTTGAACATCTGTAGTAGTTTGTAGTAGTTTTTCCATTTTTGAAAACC